CCCCAAAACCCCAAAACCCCAAAACCCCAAGAGCCAAAAATTGTGTAATGTGTTAAATTATGAGGTTATCAATATGAATTTAATAGATAATTTTAAATAAGTTTGTATATTTTAATAGTAGGATAGTTAAGATAGTATTAAATTTATCGATAATTTAGATGAGAAAAATTATGCAAAAGTCATTACTGCCCCTTTAGTACAACTATAACTAGCCTTAGGAGTTGTTTGAGATAAGATTACAAACACATCACAACTAAGAACGACGGATTATCACTCTCCAATGTGATTCTGAGTACTCTGAAAAATTTAGAAAGATTTTGAGTCACTAAAATTCACATCAACTCCTTAGAAAACTTATCAAAAAAGGAATGGACGAGATTGATCAGATAATAGAGATAGTTGATCAAGGACTACAAGATTTACGTAAATCTTTGCAATAATACAAACTTTTTAATTAGATGTTGAAAATGATCTAGAACAGATAAAGAGGTAGACCAGACAATAACTCAAAGAAAAAATTTGTCATTTTCCTGATGACTAACTCAACATCACTAATGAATTTTATCAGGACTTTGAAAATATGTAAATATAAGGACACAATGCCCCTACTATGAATTGTAATGTTCAAGTTAGTTCAGCTTCAGAATCTAAAGAAACTTATTTCTGGAAAGAGAATGAATGTGTGCTATTCATCAAAGCACTGCATAAATACGGGAAGAAATGGAAAGAAATTAGCAATTATTTTAATTAGAAAAGGAATCAGCTTCAATGCCGAAGTCATGGCTAGAAATATTTGAAGTCACTTAAAGTACTCTTAATTATAACTTAAAGAGTAATTGAGGGGAAGCATATGCCTTCAGATTAAGATCATATCAGAATCAAAGCCTACGAATAAGATAGAGGGTAAGTCTTAGTCATTGTGCAGTAATTGTATCTTTAGTTCCGTTTTAAAGTCATTTAAGTCATAAAAAGAATCTTTTTAAGATTTTCAGCTAAATTCCTAATTTTTCCCTCGATACTTGTACAATTTAATTATTGAAGGTCAAGATGCAAAGCTCTTGCAATTGACTGATAAAATGAAGCAAATCAATTAAGCAATTAGTAATGAACTTAGTTTTTATGATTAAGTAAGAATATATCATTGAATTTTACCTTTTTTGTAATAGCTCAAGGAGGCTAAGAAAAACAAAAATGAACCATTGCAAAAGAATAAAAGACCCTATTCAGCGATTTTAATGGAGAGTTAAACTATCAATATTGAAACTATTGCTAAAATTGAAGATGTAGAAGATCAAAGAGTCACTCGTAGATAAAAGAAATGAATAATCTGCTCCTACCAACAATTCGAATTAATTGCTAGAATACCCGAGCATACATCATCAATAAGTGGTTTTGTAATTGGATCTTGATTCTTTTATGATATTTCCCTTTTTTAAATTGGATTAAAAAAGCATTCTCCTAATTTTTTCTTAAATTAGTATCATGGGGTTTTGGGGTTTTGGGGTTT